TTGTAAAGGCCCAAAGGCCAGTGTCACAGTGCTGCTAGCCTTTGGTCCTTCCAGGCTGACATAGAAAAGTGAGCAGCTCAGGCCAGATGCAAAAACATTCTTGTACTTCTCACTCTTAGCCTTGCTAAACATGCCTGCCTTCCAGCTACTCATTGCCCCCTTTTCTCATGGTTGTGACAAAAATGCATGATGAGAACAACTTAAAGGAGAAAGGATTTGTATTGACTTGGGATTTCAGGTCATTACGTAAGCCATAGACTTGGACGTGCACTTGGGCAGAGTACTGTGGCATAAGAGCATATGGAGGAAGAGGCCATATGTGTCATAGCATTCAAGAAGTGGGGAGCAAAGAAGGAAATGGAGACCAAATATAGCCTTGTACAGCATGCCCTCAAAGACCTACTTTCTACAAATATGTCCTATTTCCTAATGTTTCCCGAACCTTCCAGAAGAAAAGCCCCAGGTCAAGCATGCAACACTGGAACCTGTGGGAGATACTTCACACTCAAGTGATAAACTGTCTCAACTTTGCTGCTATCTTTAGCTCTCAGCTTTATTCCTCTTTTATGTCTTTTTGTCCCTTCAGGACTGAGAGTTGAGCCTGTGGCCTTGTGCATGCAGGGAAGCATACTCTCTGCCACTGAGCTATAGTCCCAGCCCATTCATCTCTATTTTAAATGCAGGCAGAAACAGAGGGAATAATGAAAGCTGTTGTATGCTGACAGAAACTCCTGCAAGGGGGGCAAGCTCATACTCCAGCTGCGGCTATTTAGGCTAGTTAGACCAGTGCTTCCTCACAGGTACACGTGCCCTTCCTGGCCTGTGGCTGTCTCTGTCTTTACTCTTGGTATGGAATGAAACTTTAGTTACCTGGTCAGATGGCAGACCCTCCATGTCCAAGAAGCCACGGCTTTGTAGGTGGGGTTACCTATCTGCTGGCAGAAGTCTGGGGAAGGTGACAAGAATTTGAGATTTGGAACATGTAAGCTGTCAGGAGCTTAAAGAACATTGTCCCTTCCTGTTACAAAGGAGAGATTACTGTTCAGAGAAAGGAGGAGTAATGATTATTAGTTGAGTTCAAAAAACAACCCAGAGTAGCCTGAGACAGTTTTCAAGACAGCTAGGATATACATTCCCTGGCTTTGATGACATGTTTTAAAAGTTTCTTTGTTTTTTGTTTGTTTGCTTGTTTGTTTGCCATTTTGGACAAGTAAGGGGCTGGGAGGATGGCTTAGTGGATAGAATGATTCCTAGAATCCATGGAGAGTAGACATCTGTAATCCCAGCACTCCTTCAATGAGACAGGGACAAAGACATGAGAGTCTCTGGAAGCCCACAGGCTAGAGAGTGTAGACTACACAGCATAGTAGCAAACAAGGACACCCTGTCTGGAACACAGTAGAGAACAATCAACAACAGCTGAGGTGTCCTCTGACCTTCACATGCACATGCATACCCCCACCCAAGAAATGTGTTATATGTCTAAAGAAATTGCTTAACAATAAAATCACTTGTATAAGAAATTTCCCTTTTGGCATATGTACCCGTTAGCTTGTCTCCTTATCATCATCATCTATAGTTCATTAAGAGAAACAATACACTGCAGATCTTGAGGTGTCTAGCCAGATCTCCTTTTCTCAGCTTTCTAGTCCCTGTCTACTTCTTTTCTAATTATCAACATCCTAAGCCACAGATTGAATTATGCTTTCTCTGATGCAAGATAGCTAAAATATTACTACTTTAACTTTAATCAACAAAAACTAATGAGATAGTTCACATTTTTCTAAGTCAAGTGTTCCCAAATTAATGCGCATTTCACATTGATAACATATCTCAACTCAGAATAGCCACATCCAGTTGCTTATTGTTGATGTGTAGTTACTGTAGCTGCCAGCACATATCTGGCCAGATACAAAAGGTAGGCCCTGGTATGTCAGCAACTAAGAAAAGCCCTCTGCTGTATGGCCAGCTTCTCCTGGGCTGGGGAGTATATGAGTTCTACAAAGACAATGAACCAAATAATTCTTTAAACTGTAATGCCTTTTCACTAGTTTTTAAAAAAATATACATTATTTTTAATTTTTTAATTTTTGTATGTATCTGTGTGTGTATGTATCTGTCTGTCTGTGTGAATCTATGTCATATGTGTGCCAGTGCCCATGAAGGCCAGAAGAGGGTATTAAATCCCCTAGGACCTGGAGTTGCAGGAGGTTTTTGGCCTCTAGACACAGATGCAGATGAGTAGTATGTGCTTGGGACCACTGAGTGTCTCTCCAGCTCCTTTTGTTGCTCTTTAACTTAAAAGAGATGAACAAATCATCTCTCCCTTCGATACTAGTATTAGGGTTTCAAATAATGAAAACTAAAGTTTCCCAGACATTCCTAAAAATTTAGTAATTTGCCAGTTATTATTATTTATAAGATTAGAGCATGGCTTGGTGTCTCCTTGTCAGTTTTGTGACACCCCCCTCCCCACCCCTGCCAAGGGTGCTGTTCATTGTGCCTTAGGTGTTCAAGCTTCCACCAGAGATCCTTCAGAAAAGAGCTAATAGCCACTATGTTTCACTCATTAATGAATTTGGGTGATTCTTTGCCTGAACACACACACACACACACACACACAGAGAGAGAGAGAGAGAGAGAGAGAGAGAGAGAGAGAGAGAGAGAGAGAGAGAGAGAGAGAGAGAGAGAGAGAGAGAGAGAGAGAGAGAGAGAGAGAGAGAGAGAGAGAGAGAGAGGGGGTGAAAAGAGAGAAATAGTGTGTGTGTGTGTGTGTGTGTGTGTGTGTGTATGTGTGTGTAGTTAAGAATCTCACTCTACATCTCTACATGCCCAACTTGCCTAGAACTCATGGCAATGCTCCTACTTTATCACCCTGAGTGCTAGAAATATAGGCATGAGCCATCACATCTGGCTTATATAGGAAGTCTGTTTATCCATAAGTGGCAATAGTATATCAGGATTTGTCTTCACTGGGGATGGAGAGATCTATAGGCTTTCAGCTATATTATATCAACCACTGAAGCTGTGGACCAAGATGTTATTAGCTCCCTTACCCCTAAACTGATGTCTAAGCCCTTGAAATATCTTACTAATTAATATCTATGTCTGCATTTTTCCATAGCTCAAAGAAATTTGATGATGAAAATTTCAAGTAAAGAGTAGTAAAGAGGATGGCACTTCTGAGGTTTAGTAAGAGTTTACTTACAGAAGCCACAGTTTTGGATGGGTAATGAGATTCATTTTTTAGGACTCTTGGGCCTACTGATTCATCCTTCATCTTATGGTTGGACCCTCCTTTTCCTCCTTCAGTTCTTCATCCTTAGTTCAGTGATTCACCAAGGTCTGTATAAACTTTGATGTCCTAGAGGATGCTCAATTTTATTTTAAAATGCTGACCAGTCTTCAACATAAAAGAACTAAACCTCTGATGGATCCCATGGAAGCAATTCCATGCCTGGGCTCAAATTGATACTCCTGGGAACCCTGAAGCTTGGACTGGGAAGTTAGTCTTCCTATATTACTGTCTCCCCCAAAGGAGCAATGGCAAGATTTGTTGTTTTTCAGACAAATAAACATCTAATTTCAAGCATATTTTCCTTTATTGCAATCATTCCTCTTATGAATGATTCTTCATGAAAAGGAAAAGATGAAGCCTGGCATGGCTTTTGTTGGGATTTGTTTTTCAAGGTCAGCTCATTCCCACAGTTAATTGAAAGATAAATGCATATAAAAAATAAAATTAAGAGTTGGCAAGGTTTGACTCTGGTCCCTCTCCAGAGACTTCTAAGTTCTTCTTTCATGAGCCCCTGAGTCTTTGCCCTCACAGGATCTAGATTCTGTTCTCAGTGTGTCTAACCGGATGACGTAACATCTGGGCTGCCTCTGGAGAACGTGCAAAATGAAGCGCTTTCATCCTCCCGCTCCGAGTTCTGGGAACTCAGTGAAAATGATGAGGTCTGTCCTTTCATGTCCTCTCAAGTTATTTCCTCTTTTGTTTGTTCTTTGTTTGCTTTAGAGTCCAACTCAGTGGAAGTGCTCTATGGCGGTCTCCCACCTGTGGAAGAATGTGACAGAAAGATTAGCCTGATTATGGAGCTGTCCACCCAGCTTTCCCTGCAAACTGAGAAGATCACTCAGCTCGAAGAAGTTTTAGCAGAAAAGGAACGCAAGATTGAGGAGCTGGTTGCTAATCGCAGTTACCAGCTGTCCCAAGAGGGATCAAACGTTGGAGCAGACTTACAAGAAGTCCCGGTTGAATGTGATAATAGGATCATTTCTGTGGCCTCTGATGAGGAGTTGTAGATTTCCCATATGGCAATAATTAAAGTTTAGTATCATCAAGGTGGAGTTGAAGGCCTAAATAACCAGTTAAGTTCAGGTTTACAGTTTGAGTATCACCTACAGAGTTTGTGCTAAAAGAAACCATAAGAAGGGGAACATTCAGAAGCAGACCCTGAAAGTGTCTGCCACTCAACAGTGGCCACGTAGTTACACAGCAGTAAAATGCTGTGTCTTTCGACACTCCTGGTTAACAGTGGGTGAGGGAAGAACACAAAACCATGCAGCTGGCGAAATGACTTGGTACTATTCTCTGACTAGAAGTTTGCCACACTTTGAAGGAAGGGTGCGAAGTAGCCCTTAGCTTAGCACTGTTGGGAAATGAAAGCTATGTTGGAGGGTCAGCTTCAAGTTGGGGAAAGTTAGAGCCCAGAGGAGCAAAATCATTGCCCTGAGAGTAAATAGCCACAAGGTCTGTCCTTTCGTGTCATCTCAAGTATATTTCTTTATGGCATGAATTTTTAAGAGCATTAGCAAGGGTAGATACAAAATAATGCTGAAGCACTTTTTAAAAATGAATCAGAGCTGTGGTCCTTTGGGAAAAGGTTCTGGACAACATATCTCTGGGAAAAGACACAACACCAATATTTTTTCCCTTAGGAGAAAGACTTAAGATGAAAAATATACACTTCTGTTAAGATGATCACATGGCTGTGTGCTCTGTAAAATAATGGCAGAGAAAAAAACATCAGCATTGGCAAAGGGGAGCAACATGTAATCAATGTACTGCAAGGAATTCTGACATGCCCCTCTCCCACTCTCCCCACTCAAATAACCCATGTCCTACAGGAAGGGACTAATGAGAAGATTGCAGAACTTAACTCTCATAGTCAACCTTATGACAAGCAGTATTGGCAGGCTTCTGAGTGTGGCTGCATTGCTACACATCAAACAATTTGTTCAGTTTAACCAACAGCATCAGTATTCTATCCTCCAAGCACAGCATTAGAAGGCAGAAACAGAGCAAGCCTAAGAATCAGTTTTTATAGGCAAGGCGTTCATAGACACAGAAGATAGAGGGCAGAAAGCACCTGGGTGTGTCTGGGGACAGGGAGCCTGCCTGCTTGCTGTAAAGGAGGGCCTCACAGTTACAGTGGTTGGTGTGAATGCATAGCCCTTGGCTTCTGGTGTTGGACCTGAAATACACATTTTAATAAGCCACAGATTTCCTGGTGAATATAATCCAAGAAGACAACTTTAGGCAGACTTCATGCGCAGAGTTTATATATTTACTCCCTGATTCATGGACAGTTGCTCCTTGCATGCTGGGATGGGACAAGTGCAATTAAAAGAGTGGTTGTATGTCCTGACTACCTACAAGACAGTTTCTAAACCAGTACCTCCCTGCCTTTCCCTCTTCCTTTCCCTCACCCCTTTCCTTTCCTCTCCTCTCTCCTCTTTCCCTTTCTTTCTCTTTTCCTTTGTCTTTGAAGGAGCTAATGGAGCTTTTTATAGATGTATGACAGCTTGGAGATTCTAGATATTCATCAAAAGAAAAATACAAAATATTTTTTTAAATGCCCCACTACTATTTTAGTTATCATGTTGAGTTATGATCTTCCTGTATTTGATCCCAACCTCAGCTTCATATATAATGGGTGTGTGTGTGTGTGTGTGTGTGTGTGTGTGTGTGTGTGTGAGAGAGAGAGACTGTGTGTGTCTGTGTCTGTGTATCTGCACCTGTGTTGTTTAACCTCAGAAATGAGAACAACTAAAAACTTACTGTGCAGGAGTACAGACCCCAAAAAGCAGCTCAAGGCCCTTCTTTACCTTTTCTGAGGTGTCTATGTCAGCCCTACAGAATCACCTTCAGACACCCCTTCTGTCTGGTACCTTCTCATCACCCTGTGCAGTATGATATCCTTGTTTTGAGTTCATGGTCTTTAACTCCAACTAGCTATGCCAGCTGTGACCATAAGGTTCTGTCCATCAGCCCTGATACAACAGTGGTGCTGAGGTTTGGCATCTCCTCACTGTGTGTTTATGAGACAAAGCTTTACATCTCTATCTTCTGTAAAGTGTGGAACATTCCTCAAAACAAGCCATCATCTTCTCATTTTGATATACTAATATGCTAACCAAGGTTCTTGTTCTTTATTTTACAAAAGATTGCCTTGAGCCCTTGGGATACTGAAGAGGATAAAGAAGAAAGGGAGAACGAAACAGAAAGAAATCCCACCATATCCCACATGGGCCCATGTTAACTTCTACATCAACTTTCTGGTTAATGCTTAGACTAGCCCTCAACATGAAAGCAGCCGCACAGTGGAGATAAGTAACAGGAGGTGCAGACCTGCAATTAATGATTAATTGAGCCTGTCACCTCTACGTATCCAAATGCCAGCCCTTGGAGTTTAGCATCAAGGGTCATGTTAGTCTGAAAAGCCATCTTTATAAGAAGTTGACCATGATTCAGGCCTGGGTCACCTTCAAATAGAAAGGTGGGAGAGGATTTGATCTAAACATAAATAGGCTAATCTGTGCTGGTGACACTTTGGTAACAAGAATTCTTTCAATACCCAGGACTTAATGGAACAGGGAAGACATTGGCCCCTAGCAGTTTCTAAGAAAAAAAATCATATCCCCGGCTGAATCCTCAGAGTTTCCCTGGTTAGCTATCCTGGTTTGTAAAGCAGTGGGAAAAATAAGCAAAAACAACAAGGAAATGTTGCCACAAAAATGTAGATGCCTGAGACCAATACCCAAGGGGTCCTCTGACCCATCTCATTCATGCTATGGCACACTTACGCCCACAATCACACGGAGGATTATAAACACATCATACATACTTTATATATACATATGCACATACAAATTAGCCATCAAAATAACACAATTCATGGAGTAAAATATTTACTGAATAATTGAAGCCTTTTTCTAATACTCTAAAAACATTTATAGGAAAATGCAGTATCAATTAATTATACCTTTCCACTAATCATGAGCTTTTTTGTTCCCAGACAGTTAACTTGGATAAGGAGATAGTCAATTTAAGTAAATGTTGGAATTAGCAATTATTTCATTTCCTTATTATAGTCAAATGCTCCCAAATACATCCATAGCAAGATGAAATTGCTTTAAAGTAATAAACTTTAAAAATGAACAGAAATCAAGTCATTGGCCCAAAAATACAAATGGGAATTCATTTCTATAACTGCAAAGAAATGACTATTTAAAACAGTCTGTCTAAATGCATTTCTGAGAAAGAATGAATTCAACCAAATTTTAATTATTTGCTACACTGTGCTATTTTCCCAAATCCAATTATTTTCTTCTACATTATGATAATGTAAAGAATTTTTCCTTTAGCAAAATGAATAAAGAAATGCTGTCAAACTCTGTGAGCCTAAGTCAAAATAATATTTACTTGACAATTAACAAGTGTAAAAAAAACTGGGCAGTGGGTGGAGCACGCCTTTAATCCAAGTACTTAGGAGACAGAGGAAGGGGGATCTATGTGAGTTCAAGGCCAGCCTGGTTTATAAAGCAAGTTCCATCACAGTCAGAGCATCAAGAGAGTGAAACCCTGTCTTGAAGAAACAAATAAACAAAAAGAACAACCAACTATACGGACTGCAAGGATGAAACTGTTTCCAAAATATTTCACCTTGTTTATGTTTATGCAGGGAGCAGATGAAGTCCCGAGTAAATGTATGTTGTTGATACAATCACAACCACACTAAGGACCGCAGCGCCTCGGATCCATGGGAATGGCAAGGCCTTCCCCAGGCCAGACTTAGAAGAATAGCAAAGCCTTACCCTGGTCCCTGGTCAAAGCCCTCCTGGGAAATATCAACCAAACCTTGTCCTCCAGCTTGACTGTAGCCTGAGACTGCTCCCCAACAGAGAACCCTGTATTGAGATGAGCTAGCCTGCCTCCTACCTCCACTCTGAATTGTGTCCTGAGAGATTCAACTCTGGCTGCTGGTGCATATTCATCACAGTACATGGCCCACCCAACCCCTGCACCTGTCGTTTTCTTCATTCCCTGTCATCCCAGAAAGGTCATTTGCAAAGCCATGCAAGTCCTAGCAATTTTATTTTATTTTATTTTTATTCCATGCATACAAATGATTTGTCTACATATATGTCTTTGTACCACATGTGTGCCTACTGCCCACAAAGGCCAGAAGAGGGCATCGGCTCCCCTGGAACTGGAGTTACAGAAGACTGTAAAACGCCTGATGTGGGAGCTAGGAACAGAGCTGGGGTCCTCTAGAAGAGCAGTGTGTGTTCTTAAACACTAAACCACCTCTCTGGTCCTTAAATGGTTTTTTTCGAAGACTTGGAAAACCAATGTTTGAGATCATACTGACTTGGAATTTGAAAAAAGAACTCGGGCAAAGCTCAGTGATAAGAGCATATGCTTAGCAGGTGTGAGTCCTCAAGTTCAAACTCTTAGGAGGGAGGGAGACAAGGAAGAAGGGATGGGGGTGGGGGGAGGCAAGCAGGCAGGGAGGGAAGCAGGGAGGGAGGGAGGCAGGTATGTAGGGAAGTAGGGAAAGCTGGTCAAAACTATAAAGAGTAAATAATTCTTACAACAAAAATTTTTGTTAAGATTTCCCAGACATGGGAGAGCATTCCCGTTAATAGAGGAAAATCCAGTTCAAGTAGGAAATGATCTTTCTAAAATAAAAGGATGTGTGTGCTGGGGCAAAGTTCACAACAGAAAACAGGCCTAGTCACAGTTTCCCACACCTAATGAAATTATGGTTTTTATGGTCAAACAAAACAGAACAAAACAAAAACTGTGCTTGTTTTCGGATTCCCAGGGAATGCATAGCTGGACACTCAATACACATTTAGTGGCCTGAGCCTTTGGTGAGAGGGCCTGAGTTTTCTGACCATCGCCATTTAGAATGTTTACATGTAAGGACACGGTCAATAAGACAAAACGGCAGCCCACAGAATGGGAAAAGATATTCACCAACCCCACATCTGACAGAAGGCTGATCTCCAAAATT